ACTTATAATTGGAAAGGAAAAAAAAACACCTCTGACACTTTTCTGACAGGATAAACTGAGGGTCTGAAAACACTGATCAGAACAAGGCAGAGGTACTAACTTAGAGCTACTAAAATATAACTGCAAATGAAGCAGAGAAAGAAACAGAGTAAGAAAAATAATTTCAAACTGATGTAAAACCATTTGATGAGACCCCCAAACTTAACACAGGTCTAAAAAGAAAAGGAAAAGACTGCACAAAACATTGTTTTTAAAGGAGATGGCTGAAGCTGTCTCGACTTTCTTAAGGTTGCATTATCTATGCCAATTAAAATTTTGCTTCTGAAAAAGAGTTAAGGCACTTCCTCTAGAGTTACTAAAAAAAGCAAATGAAAGCCTTGGCTTCGCAGAGGTGAGTGATAGTGAGCCGTTTGTTCTTGACCTCTGGATCACCCTACAGATCAAATTCTTGGACATAGGAAAAACCCACTAGTATTCATTAAAAGCAACTGGGAGGCCAGTTTTGTGCTTCTGTTCTTGAGACCTGAACAAGCTACAACTTGACAAACGTGCAGGATATTGCTGAACAATGCTGCTGTTCCTGTCAGGAGGGAAGAGCTTTACTCCCAGCTCCATTCAGGATGAATTGATTTTCATCACAATGATGCAAATCACAGATTTCAGTCATTATTTAAATAATCGATTGTCATCTCTTACCTTTGTGGTGCTTTTCAGTTATTCCCATAAAGTTGATTCCGTTAACCATTAACATGCATTGATTTATATTGAATTAGCTTTTATACTACACATTTTTCCCTCAAAAAGATACATCTAGCTACAGTTATCTAAACAAATACACAGCCTGAAAGTCCCAGATATTTAGCTTTACTTTTCTTTCTGCTAGATATGGGTGACATTTGCTTATATATTTTCGTAGCTAAAAATTATGTAAAGTATTGCTTTATTAGAGAGATTATTTTATATTTACAGCTTTTGACATTTTTTGACATTTTTATGCATAACAGAATTTAAAATCCACAAATATGCCTATTGCCTCATTCTTTATAAAATTAACTGCTATAAATTTCTCTGCACATAAAATAAACTTCATCGGAATACTTTTTCTTTTTAACTATTTTTCTCTTTCAAACAATCAAAAAAAAAAAAAGCTACCTGTAGAGCTGATCAACATAACAAAATAAAACAGCAAAAAACATTCTCCCTGAACAATTGTTTCTGTCAAAATGTGGTTTAAACAAATTCTGGCTCCAGTTAACTGCAGTTCTCTGGTGGTTTGAATGCTTTTAAAGCTTCATTAGAAAACAGACATTTTGTATCCAAATGTCTACAGCATACTATAGTGAATTCAGTGCTTAGCATGGATGAACAATTTCAAATATAATCTAAAAAACCCAGACATATTTTAAAATAACATTTGAATTTAAATAAAACTTATTCACTTATGCATATTCAGCACCCGAAGCTGCAGTAAAAACAGACTGTCTCTCCTTACTCTTTCATAGATACATCAGTAAGACTTCACAAAGGCAGTTTTAAAATTTAAATTTTCATATATCCATCACTGTTTGTATTTTTTTGTCCTGTTTAATAAGTAGCCTCAATCTCAAATTTCCCAAGAAGAAAATATTTGCGTTGGAATCTTTAAGAGTTTTGACTGCATAAACTATCAATTATTTCCCCACCAAACAAGGCAGGTTCATAGCACAAAGTCAGAAGGAAGAGAAAGGGGGGAATGTTTTTGTGGATTGTTATCTATAGACCAAATGGAAAACCTTCAGCCATTTTGCTCCTTCAAGGTACATCAAAGAATCTCCTATTTAAGGTGTGAAAATGTCAGTTACATTCTTCACCTCTGAAAATGAACAGAGCTCTGAATGCGATTTATGTCCCACCCTGGCACTTTTCTCTTTTAGGGGCTGATACTCTTCTTTTCAACTTCCTTCCAGCTAATGCCATTAAATACTCTCAGAACCATAGGGCTAAATTCAAATTTTCTGCTCCTTAGAGGCTGTTGTTATGCACCACTGCACATTCCAATTGCAAATACACATGAAAGCTCCCGTGTATTGTAAGTTATTTTTTACACACAAATTCTGCTAAATTGTAAGTTAGGAGGCACTACTTGAATTCTCTGAGGTCTTTAGAAAGCTTTCAGATGTACCACGAGTAATAACATGTAATGAATATGGACTGATATTTCTTTTCTGTAGTTACACTGAGTTGGCAATTTACATTTTCTAGATAGATTACTTATAGCCAGCCTTCCCAGTACTCTGGCAATTACTTCTTAGAAACCCCTGACAGGCTGAAACCTCCAGAATCACATCTGTTATTCTTGGTTTGATCCCTCTTTTTTAAATTAAAACCAGTAGCTTTATCAGCAAATGAGAATTTTTTTTTCCCCCTCTGGAAATACTTACAAAACTGCACATAAATTGAACACGCCAACTTATCTCGTTTTAGGGTTGGTGCATCTTCTGGGTTAATGACCAGTGTTCCATTTCTGTGACAGAACTAATTGAGGTAAGGAGCCCATAAATACACACAAAACCCCACAAATTCTCTTCCTTTGGGGTAGTCTGAAGATTTATAGAAGTAGGGAGAGATGTGATTGGAGGGGAAAGAGAATAAAATTTAAGAAGTGCTAACAGGCTTGTCTGATCATTCTGTCTTAGTTTCCAGGCACAGAATAAAATTAGAGCAGGTTTTTCTAATATCTGATGTGACTTTTCCTTCCTCTCAAACACCAGCTAAAGTGCAAAAATCTGGTTGAATTTTCACATTTTCTAGGAACCATCATTATTTAAAAAAAAAAAAAAAAAGAAAAAAGAAAAAAAGGAGAGAGAATGTATAGACAATACTACATCTTTATGCTCTGAACACAAACTGTCTGATTGATCTAAATAGCTCTGATGAAAACAGTAGCCTCAATTCCACACCAACAGTTGCTCAAAACATGCTTTGACAACAGTTTTTCACAGCTGAACACAAATGAAACATCCTTCGAGAGAGAAATCCGCACTTGGTTGGAGCTCAGTGTGCATTTCCAGCAATCTAGCTGCATTTGTCATGCATCACTAATCGGAAAAATCCAGTTATCAATGGATTATAGGAAAGAATAATTCAGGTTTGTCTTCCATGACAGAAGGAAGAATAGATAGGTCAGAATGCATATGCCATTCACTTTTTACGGCTAAAACAACTCAGTACCTTGATGCGATGTCCCTTAATATTTCAGAACAAACATTCTAAATCCATGTGTACACCTGCAAATTGAAAGAACTTCTAAATGCAGCTGGAGGCAAAAGGGTGACAGATTTCCACTGTAGATTTGGGAAGCAAAAGAGGACAAAAAAGAGCACTACATATTGCCTGTGCATATAAATGTAAATGTAAATGCATGTCACACAGTTCTCCATTTCAGAATACCAAACTCTCTCTTCCCCAGACAGGGATTCTGTGTTCTCCAGATCTCTCCAGCAGTGCTGTAAGCAAGCTGAGTTCAGGTAAATCTGACCCAAATAAATTTTAAAAGATGCCTACACTTCCTAATCACCGGATGGCTGCAGAAGCCCTCTGAATCTGACACATACATACAAAAGAGGCTGAACACTCTTAATCTTAGCACCTAACCCTCCTCAGCTCCTTACCTTGCAGCAAGCCTCAAATCCACCTCACTCTACCCAAGGCCTTATGTGCCCTGCCTTCTGTGCTGGTATTAACAAAAAAAAAAAATTACTTCAAAATGTCTTGAGGAGATGATTCTTAACCTGAATTAAGATCATCTTTCCCAATTTGCTGATAATGCAGGATTTAGAGCATTACTTTTTTTTTTTTTTTTTAGCTAACCAGTGTCAGGCTGATTTAAACTACTAGCTAAAGGCTACAACTTAAATTAAAAAATTAGTAGCTCAAGTCAAGAATGTGAGATACAGAGCTAGATCAGTTTTCTAGCCAGCACTAATGCACACAATATGACCAGAAAAAAGCACTGTCAGAAGCATCAATGTGTGTGGTGTTACATGAATCTGCAGGCCAAGACAACAGAGATGAGATGAAGGGGAAAATTTCTAATATATGTATAGGTTTGCCCCATTTCTTGGTTCAACTCCTGTCATTCCTCCTTCCTCTCCTGCTTTCACCTTTAAAGCAAGGCTGACATCAAAAATAAGTTATAAGCTTATAATAAACCCTTCTTATAGGTGTGCATAAATTAGCATCTCAGTACTTCAGCTGACAATTGAGAATGCCAAGCAGCAGAATGATTATCACCATCACTCAAGTTCAGGTTTCTGGTAAAGCCTGAAAGGACTGTGGCTGTTGTTAGCATGAGAATTTTAAACAAGTGCTACCCAAGACTACACAGAAAGATGTCAGGCATCACAGTTAAATGGCATGTAGAAAACACAAGGAAGAATCTCCTTAGTACAAAATGGGACAGCAATTTTTTCCTGCATGACATGCTTGACACATGGATGGAATGACACCAAAGCTGGCTTGAAATTTTGCTATGACAACTTTACAAGGAAAAGAAAACAATGCCTGGAACTGATCAAAAAATAGGGCTTAAAAGCACCTGCTGCCTTGTACCTTGTGCTGTGTGGGAGTTAAATTCTACCACACTAATCTATTAGCATAGCAGACATAAATACCCCAACAGCACAGAATATAATGGAGCTTCCCTAATACATACTCAGATGCCACTGCAGTTAAATCCACGAGCACAGGGTGGGCATTGAGTCCATTCAGCAGGTAGGAATAGTCACAGTTCCTTTTGTCTTATTTCACACACATTGCTAAATAGAGATTATTTATACACACACACACAAAAAAAAAAAAAAAGGAGAAAAAAAAAGAAACTATTTCAGGGTGGTTTACAGCCAAGTTTGATACTGTTCTGCAGGGCAATGCAACAAAGCAGCTTCATGCATGTTCAACAGGAACAATTCCTGCTGTGGTTCAAGTAATAAACAGCAAAGAAAGTTTAAATTGAGACTTACCACGGGGCACCATATATTCGGAATCCTTTAACTGTTACCTCTGAATCTTGTAAGTAAATACTATTTGTCAGGAGTGACTGAACATTGTCAAAGTCCTCTGGTTTCAATTTGGACACAGAGGGAAAGCGGTAGTAATCTTGTTTAACAAGGTCTGCCATGAATTCCTTATCAAATGTCAGTTCATGATTCCCAGCAATCACTATTTTATATTCATATGGTAGATTTCCTGAAATAACAAAAAAGAGGACTTAATTAGCACATTTTCCTCCGGCACAATAAGTAGACAGCCAGCAGTGACAGAACCAAACACCCGAGATCTGTGTGCGCCTCCATGTCGAGCACAAGGCATTAAAGCTGCTTCTCCTCCACTGAATGGGACTGTGTTAAAATGTAAAGGAACGTCACACAAAGCAATGTCATAATAAAGGGCCTGCGCCGCAGAGTTAAACAAAACAAGCTGGTAGGCAACAAAACAGCTCCAACGGTGGCATAAACCACCACTGCTGAATTAAGATTCACCTAAAATCTGACGTGGGACTGGGTCAGGGTCAGCAGCCCCCAGTCCCTGTCCCCAGGAGTGCCCTGCAGTGAGATAGGTGGCTGTCCCAGTGGGCAGGTGACCAGAGCCCCCAGGATACCTCACCAGTGTGTCCTGAAGGTACTGAATTAGACTGCTGGTGCTGTTGTTTTTCTAGAGTATGCTGTTATTTGATTAATTTGTGTTCCAGTGGCATTTATTCCACACCTAGTCTGTCCTCCAAAGCATCAATTCATTTCCAATGTACTTTCATATTATTATTATTGCTATTATGTTAAAGCAGCATCTCGTTTCTGTAAGATGTACACGAGTAGAAGAAACCATAAAACAGCCAAATACAACACAGCAGGAAAAAGGAAATGTGGTTAATTCATTTACCATGAGAGTCAGAGGTAAAGAATGCAGGTTTGCTCACCTCAGTGCAGGGCAACTGATACCGCTGTTTGGAAGGAGGCTCATGCCCACCGAGCCAGATTGTTGGAGTTCAGAAACAGATTTTCAAGCACTTGGTACCAGCAATCACTGCCAGGTTTTCCAAATAAACATACTGGCTGCTGAGCTCCCTTAAAAATATAGTCCCATACTGTGATGTCTTCACAGAAGTTAGGTTCTTTTACAAAATCTGTCCCATTGTGACTTGCCAAAAATCGCACCTAAGTTTGCATCAAAGCTAACTTCTACTGCCTTCACCATAAGCTTGATTTCCCAGTCTCATACCAAATCATTGATTTTGGTGTTTACTCCTAATAATCATTTAGAAAAGGTTGGGTTTGTTGTGCTGGTTTTTTGAGGGGTTTGTCTTGGGGTTTTTTTCCATAAAGGCAGCAAAATATATGTGGAAATCTATGGGTCCATCTTCCAGCTTGGTGACTCACAACATCTGTCCCAAGGAAGACAAAATCAGATGTCATACATTTCTTGTGAATACAGTTCTCTTGAATAGAAGTGGCCTTGCTAGTTTAAAACTTGCCTTTTAACTTTTAAAACTGTTTGGGTTTTTTTAACGTAAGTTTCAAAGTAAAGCTGCAAGTATATATAACAAGATTAACCTTCCCATAAATAAGACTCACAGGGAACCAGCCAAAACCCTCTGCTTTTCAATATTTACAGCACAGAAACAGGAATTACACAAGGTATGTATACAAATATCATTTTAGCAAAATTAGTTAATTCTAGATAGAAAACCAAAAAGCTACAAATCCCCTGGAAGAACAAGCAGACTTTTTCACAGACACCTCATGTCTGAACAAAATACAGATTGTACATACACTTAACTCTCTGCAGTGCTTCATTAGAATAAAATCTGGGCAGATGCAATAAATGCTCCTCTACAGGTTTTGCCTCACTCCTTTCCCTCTTCCCTCCTCTTCCCCATCTGTGCTACGTGCAGCTCTGCAATTCATTTCCATTTAAAAACTCGATGTGGCAGGTACCTACAATTCCTGCTCTCTGTGACTCCTGGGCACAAGATAGAATTGCTATTTTCTTCTCTCCCAGGAAACATAAAAGATACCACCAGGATGAAATTTGATACACTTGTCATAACTATCAATCCCCCCAAACAAACCAGATGTGATAATATTATCAGAGAAGTAGGATGGAGCAGTTAAATTCAGGTATCTGCCAAGTTATCAACATTTGCCTGTTTTAGCAGAGAAAACTTTTCATCTTACTGGATACATGTCCGAGCTTTACACTTTCTCTCATTTATTTTGATAAGACTTGAAAACCAGCACATTTTGCTCATATTATGTCCAATTAAGCCTGGAACATTTTTGCTTGAAGTCAACATTTTTTTTTCCCTTGACATTTTAAAAATAAGGGCTTACTCTGAAGACACACAGGACACACAAAGACAAACTAGTGGTGGCATCAGTAATTATTAAAACGTGTAAGTGTAACATTGTAGATGTCATTTAAGCACCTGAAATCAGTAGGGAAACCAAACAGTATTTCTTTGCTCTGGCTTTCTGGTGCTGGCTCAGGAGCTATCAGTGAGCAACACCACTCACCAAAAGGCACACACACCAAAAGCCAGGCCCATGCAAAGGAAGGGCAGCAGCAAGAGGAAATCTCATCCATTTCTTCCCTCGACCCCGAGGAAAGACTATATAGCACTAATCACAGTAATAAATTACCTGCAATAAGATTAGCTCATTTATTCATCACATTCACGTTTTTCCTTCTTGAGACGTGTTGTGACAGTGCACAACACCCATTCTCTCTAATACTATTTATGAAATATTTCGGTGTGTTTTCTTTTGGCAGATCTGCCCTTTATCTGTAACCTCTTGACCTTGTGTTTAACATGGAAACATAAAGAGTCATATTCAAAAATCTCCTACTCCACGGTAATTTAGTTTCATCTTGACCAGATTAATCTCTGCATATCTACATCAGCGTTGCCTGTACAGAACAACACACAGGTTGAAGGGCATTTCCTCATTTTCCTTCACTAAATCTTTGTTAGCTACATTTGGGTTTTATTAGTCTAATTTCCTAACTATCAAATCTTCCATCATGCACCGGTAATATAATTCATTCTAATTTTTACTGCGAAAACTCCTTTTCCAAACTACAAAAAGTTTGATTTGTTTGCTGGGACAAGCACTTCAGAAAACCCAAATATCAACTCTCAGCATAATAACAGAGTTAATTTAAAATACTTAAATGCTTAACAGGTGAGATCAAAAGGCTAAAATTACAACTACTGAAAATGATCAGGGCACTAAGTCTGTGAAGCAGAGTTACCTATACTAGAGTATTTGAACCCCAGTATATTTATGTGTATATACACACACAGGGTGTGTATGTGTGCTTCTCCAAAATATATCTATCATTTTGGGTAAGACGAGCAACATCTTCCCCAACATCTGCCCTCACCAGCACAAGCAAGGGCACAATGCAATCATTGATCAAGAAAATACTGCAATTAGCCAAGTTGTTCTCTTCTGGAAGCCAAAAAGGTCAATATTGCTCCTCCTCAAATAAAGGCAAAGATAGTTAATTGCGAACAGTAAAAAAGGAATTGTTTACAGTAAATATATTAATCTGGGAGTCTCAGAAAATTTCTGTGACTTCTTGTCTAACGAGTCAACCCTCAAGCTACAGTCCCAAGTACCTTTGCCCCCAAGTGTTCACCTTTACTCTTTGTCAACACAAGGATTTGGTGGCCACAGAATAGAGTGGATCAGAAAACTGATCCAGATGAAAACCAATGCAGCAAAAAAAGGAAAGGGTGTCTGTGAATGCTGGTAAGGCAGGAGTTCTATTGCTGGCTGCAGCCACTTACACTACTCAAAGTGTCAGCTGAACAACAGACTGACTTTAAATATATCTATTACATGGGACGAGGGGGGAAGCTTGGGGGGCTGTGGGGTTTTTTTAACCTATATAAGTAGGTGATTCAGTGGGGGTTTTTTTAAAGTTCACCTTAAGTACTTGGATCCTAGGAGTCCTTAATCTGTTGAACAGCCATTCCCATTTTAAAGGCATGCTTCATATGAGTACAATTTAGTCACACAACCCAAGTTCTGTGGAGCTGCCAGACATGAAAAGGAGTCTGACTGGCAGCGAACGTTAACTGCTGAGTCCCTATAAAAATAGAAAATCACATTATTTTTTGACTACTGTTACCTGCAAACCCCACAGGGAAGTAGAGGAATATGAAATAATGTGATACTAGCTGTCTATATAGCGGTAGAAACCTGTATTTACACACAAATGATATGCAAGTGCTTTTGATGTGAAGCTCTGAATATGCATATGCATGCATTAACTATTCAAACCACACAACACTTCCATGAAACACGAAGCCTTTTTCATGCCCATTTCATAGCCTCATAAACCCTTTGGCCATATGCTGAGAAACAGGCTGAGAAAGCTTGAAGTACAAATCCTAGCCCCTTCAAAAAGAGAGAAATCTGTATAAAAGATGTGTGTGCTGGTGAATCATCTCAAGTTTATGGTGTATCATATATGCTTCAACAGTGCACAACTGGTCATGGAGCATTCACCCTATAACCAACACCATACATGCCCAGGGATAAACACTTGAAGGAGTACATTTGGCATTGTTCCCATGGAATTCCAGTCCCCACAGGAGCACAGGCTGGCAGCAGTTGTCCAGCCCAGCTGCCTACCGATGGGCCCAGCCTGACACTGGTCAGCAGCTCTGTAACTCTTCTTCACACAGAGAATTCTCATGGAAAGCCCATAGCATCTCAGGGCCATGGTTACTCTCTCTTCCCAGCATAGTCACAACACACAGAAGCTCCTTTTCAAAAAGAAAACAGAATATCTCAAAGCTCTGATTTCTCCCATGGCAGCAGTAAATGACTTAGACTGTGTAAGTACAGTTGCACAGAGTCAAGCTTTCACATAATAAGCTGGACTTATCTCACCAACAATCCAGTCTAAATACCAAGATCTAAAACTGGGTAGGAAAAAACTCGACATCTCTTCTAGGATGAGACTGACCAACAACTGTGAAAGTATGCTGGCTGTTTTAATCAAATCAGCCCTCACAAAAAGTCCTCGACGGAACAGCTAAAACTGATGTCAACCAACATACTGGCTGAAAATGTAACCCATGAATTTCTAAGCATTTTAGCTCTCTGTCTGTAGAAACCTACACAATGAAACAATTAGAAACAAAAAAAAGCAGGCAAATAAAAGACAGAACATGC